GATGGCTGTTTACTATTCACAGGGGGTTGAGTGATACTAGCAATCACAGCATTGTAAGAGGGGAACAGTTGAACTCGCAGGCCTCCACCCCTGTTTAATGATAGACAATATCTTTTCACAAAGATGGCCTCCTTTACTCCTCTCTCAAACCATCGTTCCTCTCTGTCCAGGATGTGAACATCTTCATCGTTGAAAGAGTGACCGCTGGCCTGGAGATGAGTGTAGACCGCAGAGTCCTGGCCTGATGATGCTGATCTTCTGTGCTGGGCCATCCTTTTGGCCAGTGGCTGTTTAGTTTCCCCGATGTAAGACTGATCACAGCCCTCCTGACAGTGAACAGCATACACAACATTACTCTGTTTGTGCCGGGGGACTGGATCTTTGGGATGAACCAGTCTTTGCCGTAATGTATTTTGGGGTTTAAAAGCCACTGGGACGTTGTGTTTAGAAAATAAACGTCTCAGTTTCTCTGATACTCCCTCAACATATGGAATGACCATTGGTCTGGGTCTGGGTTCCTCCTTTTCACCTGATGGCTGACTGGAGTCCTGTTTGGGTTTCTTCTCTGCTTTCAGGAAGGCCCACTAGTTTGAGGCAAACCTGGCCAAAGTGGTTCAACTGTCCCCCTCTTACACTGCTGTTTTTGCTAGTATCACTCAGTCCTCTGTGAATAGTAAACAGCCATCAGTGTGCTAATGATCCATTGTTAGGCTGATGGTCCTTCTTGACCATGTGATCAGTTGGTTTTGGTTGTCAGCAACAAAACTGGTTGATCCACCCTGAGAAGGTGCTATTTAAGAGACTGAGCTGAATACAGCACCTCAGACTGAGGAAGTCTCTTTGATAACAGTCTATCTGTTTTAAATTGTGCTCTATAAATAAATATGACTTGACTTGACTTGACTCTCGGATGAGAGACGAAACGTTTCTATATTTTTTTGCTTTGTTTTGGTTTTTTTGGTTTTTTTGAATGTCCAGAGGACCCGATTGAACTTTTTTGGAAGACTGAGATTAGTGCAGCTCCTCAGACTAATGAAATCTTTTGAACAAAAAACAAAACGTTTCAACAATTGTATTTATGTTTTTAATCCGTCCAGAGGACCCAAGTTAACTGTATTAGATTTTTCTACCTTTGTTATTGAGCATGCATTAGGTCAGTCAATGTCAATTTTACAACAACACCAAGCTCTACCTCAGTTTCTGCTAAGGTTGTTTAGAGAGTGGTGAAAGCTGCACACAAGTCTGTTGGAGTCATTCTCCCCACCAACACAGACATCTACACCTCCAGATGCAGGAACAGGGCCACCTGCATCATGAAGGATCCCACTCACCCAGCACACACTTTTGCCCTGCTCCCCTCAGGAAGGAGGTTGAGGAGCATTAAGTGTAGAACCACTAGACTGAGGAACAGCTTCTACCCTGAGGCTGTTAGATTCACAAATATCTAACCAGAATAATCACTGTGAAAAATCACATCATGTTGCTGCTGATCTGTTTCATGTTGCTGCTGATCTGTTTCATGTTGCTGCTGATCTCTTTCATGTTGCTGTGTTCATTCATACTCATCTGCTTACACAGACAAATGTGCATGTTGCTGTTAGTGTATTGTTTTATGCTATTTTATGCTACTAGTGCTAAGTGTATTTTTATTAATGTTTTTCTTAGTTCATATCATAGATCTTATTACTATTTTTTTTTTACTTTTTAATACTTTTTTGGATGTACCTGGGACCCTGTGTACATAATCTCGTTCCACCACATGTACCACATGTGGTAGAATGAAAAATAAAGAACCTTGATGTACAAACAAAGGATACTTAGGTAATTCCATAAAAATCCATCCAACGGTTGATGAGATATTTTATTTGTCAGACATCTGTGCAGCACATATAAGAAAGGGTACACTGGTTTAAAACTATAAGTTTTAATGTTCTTATTCAGTTAACTTGTTATTATTTAGCTCCAAATTAAATTCCAACATATCTTTATCATCCAACCCAGAGACCTGAACTCCATCAGCAAAGAAATTGAAGGAAATATTATGATTCCTAGAAATCAACATCAATGGAAACACAATATAAAATGAAAAGCAGAGGACCCAGATTAGATCATTGATCCAAACTGGGTCAGCACAAGTAAGAGGCCGGCAGGACAATAAATCCCCAACATGAACAGAGAAAATCCAGTTGAGCACATAGAACATCAGATCATTTAAATCCAACAATTTTTTCAAGTCGTGACAACAAAATGACTCACAGCGAAAAAGGCAGAAGACTGGTCACAAAGCCGGCTTCCTCAAATAATAATAACAAAAAAAATCAGGAAAACTCATGGCTATAGATAATCAGGATGTGGATTTTATACAAGTGTCTAAAGTTTTAATATCCCTTTTGGTTGCATTAAGTGTTCTCTCATGTATGCAACTGTTTTCACATGAAATGAGAAGTTCTTTGGAAAATCTCAAGTATAAATCAGAGTTAAAATTGTGTTATAAAAGACCTGAGCAAGTACAGCTTGAATGCCACTGCGTGAATGTGGTTTCAGCAGCTGAATTGATCAAATCAATTGGCAATTACCTTTTATATTGTTCAAGCTGAAACATCACTCTTTTTCACTTCTGCCCTTAAAGCTCAAAAAGTGGAATAAATGAGAGATTAGAATGTGTATTAGTGGAGGGATGGCAGGGCTAGCAGACAACTCTGTCATCACAACATAATCTTTTACCTCTCTGGAACTCAACCATTGTCCATGTGCAGGGGTCTCGCCAGCCAAAGAAATGTTAGGCTGCACTTTCTCTTCCCCTTTTTCTGTTTCCATTGCTTCCTGCTCTTCCACCAATTGTTAGTTTCACTTTTCATTAGGCTGAATCAATAAGGCGGATCGGTAGCTGATAGTGTGGACTGCATGGAAGACATCGCGCTGGCTGGCTCGCTCGCCCTTCTCTTTTTATTCATTCATTCTTTCTCTTGTTCTCTTTGTTCGGCTGTGAACTCCAGCTATCTCCTCAGCAACCATCCAGTTGGAAAGATTGTGAACAGCAGAGGGTTGCTTGAAGAGGCCGGAGATAGAGAGATGAGCCACAAGTTGGACGTCTGCTCAGCCAGTAAGACTGAAACAGTAATTCTAAATGATAACCCTATAAAGATTAATTAAGAGCCTGTAACCTCTCAAGCTTAAAGCAATTTTGGAAATGGAGGCTGTATGCTGACAAGGAAATGAAAATGTAAATTGTCATACAAATGCATATTTTTTTGTTAAATGGTATAGTAGATACATGTTTTTGTTTCTATCAAGTGTCCATAATGATATCTGTTTTTTTTATTAAAAAAACAACAAACAAAAAAAAAACATATTTGTTGCTTTAGCTAATTTTATCTGTACATGGTCACTAAACCATCAGAATCAGAGTTAGATTTTCTTTATTGTCATCCACACCACATGTGGTACATGTGGTAGAACGAAATTATGTACACAGGGTCCCAGTTACATCCCACAATAAAATGTAAAAAAAAAAAAAAAAACAGTAATGAGATCTAAGATATGAACTAAAAGAAACATCAACTAAAAATACACTAAGCACTAATAGCATAAAAATAATAAAAACAATACACCGAACAGCAACACAAACATGAGTCTGTGTGAGCAGATGAGTACGAATGAACAGAGTAACATGAAACAGATCATCAGCAACATGATGTGATTTTTCACAATGATTATCTTGGTTAGATATTCATGAGTTTAGCAGTCTCAGGGTAGAAGCTGTTCTAGTGGTCTAGTCTAGTGGTTCTACACTTAACCTCCTAAGACCCAAACTTTTCATATGTGGATGCCAGGTCTTAGGAGGATATTGCTCCTTAATCTCATTCCTGAGGGGAGCAGGGCAAAACGTGTGTGTGCTGGGTGAGTGGGGTCCTTCATGATGCAGGTGGCCCTCTTCCTGCATCTGGAGGTGTCTGTGATGGTGGGGAGGCTGACTCCAACAGTCTTCTGTGCAGCCTTCATCACTCTATGCAAAATGTTTCTTTCTGCAGTTGTGCAGCCTGCATGCCACATGATGCTGGAGCACAGGATGCTCTCCACACACAAAAAAAAAACAACAACTTGCAACTAGTCAGGTTTTTCACCTCATATATTTATGGCTCTAATGCTAAATAAAGCAGCACAACAGGTTTCAGCACAAAAAACAAGCTCTTCACAATCTAATCCATAATGCCATTAAAAAAGCAACCAACATATACAGTAGGAAAATGTAATAATGGCATGGACATTACATTATGTCATTCAGCCTAATAAAAACTCATGTTAACATGTGTCACTGTGACTGTATATCATGGCCCATTTTATTTTGTAGCTTAAAACGTTCTATCCACATGTGTGGGACAAAAACATGGGGTGAATAAAGTCCATTTAAAACAAGTTCTGCTGCTGAAGAATCTTTTGAAACAGAGACTTCAAGGTACAAATGTGGCTGCTTACGGCATTCCATTATTTTAACCAGTCCAAAGTGTATGTGGAAGAGTGGGCATGTGTACTGGCCATAAAGCTGCAACAAACCTGATACAACAGTTTCTACTTCCTTATCATGTCAAAATAAATCACTACTGTAAAGTAGATGTGGGCTCACTTCTAGTTTCATGGTGTTCGGTCAAAAATAGCACCTTGTTTTCAAAAGCATATCGTTTTAGCTGTGTCACAAAAAAAAAAAAGTGTATGCATGAAAACAAACAAAGGGAATAAAAATGATTAATGGAAATAAAGCTGCATACCAAAACAACAATCAAATCAGTTCTTCAAAATCATATATTTCAACTCGCCAAATTCAGAAATCACTGCACATCCCTACGACTCTTTCAACACTGGTCACCAAAGGGTTGGTTTTGGTATAAAACCTAAAACAATTGTCTGTTCTTACGTGACATACATTGAGCAAACATACAACCTTGACACTTGAAACCATTCACATAGTCTCGCTCAGTATTCTTGTTTGAGTTTTGACTTACCCAGTACAGTGAGACGGGCAGGATGGGACCTCTTGCCAGCCTGGACAGCCTGGCACTCAAACACTGCGTCATCCATCAGCTCGACACCCTGTATGTTCAAATGATGCTCCCCTGAGCCGTGGTCGCCAATCACTGTGTAACGTGGATAGCCTGCAGTGCAAACACATTTGTTTATTCAACACCACCCTCGATGCCAGAGCACCACTCACCTGCCAAAATACCAAGAAGGTAACTTTCATCCACTTTATAGCTGCTCATAAACCATGTACGGTCTATTGTTGTCTATTGTATGGTTCCAGTTATCATGCACAGTGCTGGCATGGGCACATTAACTGAGCTGCAACATCAGATCATTTAAACAGGGAGAGGAAGGAAAGATTGCTTTATTGGCGTATAGGTACATCACTCATTTGTTAATTTACTCGCAATACATTTTATAGCACTCCTGGCAATGTTAATGAGCTGCTGTGGAGGTGGCTACATCCTGGAGAAACATGTTTTATTGCAACAGTAAATAGGAACAACAAATGCGAGTAGTTTCAGCAACGCTCTATGAAATGATTTACACTCTAATAATGGAAGAATGTGGAGAAATAACCAAGAATCAAGATGGGCGGTTTTACACATATCCCCTTAACTATTATCAGATTTGCATGATTATGTGTGTTGTGAAGGGTGAATCTGTGGGGACAATCAGGAAGAAGATGTGTTCAACCAGAGTGCTTGGTGAGGCATCTCATGTGCTTTTAGAACTGTCCATCCCTACAGATATGTTTGCTTTATGCTTCTTCTTCTCATAATTATCAAGGGCACAATTTGTAGAATGCAATGAGAATTAATTATCTAAATGTTTTACTTTAGAAAAAAAAAGTTCCTGTTACTATTGTGGTAAATGACTGGTGATAGAACAAGATATTTGGATTTAAGAGTTTTAAAAGTCTCAATTCCACTTTGTACTTTGTTCAGTCAAACAAAGCATGCTTTTTTCTCTCATTTATCAGTCGCCTTTACCTGCTGTCGCTATTGAACGACAATGATTGATGACAAATATTTGGAGTAAAACAATAGATTTTTCAGGAAAATGTCTTCAATGTTCAATTTAAAGAGTTCTCACAACCTTGGTCTTTCTTCGATACCATGTTTTCGCACCCAGATGCAGCAGGCAGGGTTATAACAACTATTAGGTTCTTAAATTTGTCTCGCAAAAGCCATCATATGGTCTAGGTCCAATTACTGACTTTAGCTTCATTGAATCCAGCAGCTTTTAATAGAGCATGAAGTGGGTCTCATTATAGACTGGTGGGGTGAGTTACAGCCGATTAAGCCACTCTTTGCATTTCATCCTCCTACATGAAGCCTTTCATCTTGAGGGTCTTTACAGCAGGAGGACTGAGGACAAAAAAAAAAAAAGCCTCAACACAAATATTAAATCTGGGTGAAAAATAAACTGAACAAAGTCAGTGCAAGCAGCAACAAAGCTACAATTACCAGAGATGTAAGATCCAGGCAGTGGGGACTTTTTGGGGGTGCTCAAACACAGCTAAATTTTAACTCAGTATCCCTGGAAAAATTAAGAAACCATCATTAGGAGTTTGTACGGAAGCTTAGTTCTCACATCTTAGATTCACTCAAATTTTTATTTATTTTTCCTTTCGGCTGCTCCCTTTGTTAGGGGTCGCCGCAGCGAACTAAGTCGCACGAAAACTTGACAGTTATTTTTACGCCGGATGCTCTTCCTGCCGCAACCAGAGACCACCGAGCTACCACAACCCTCTGTGTGGAGCAGAGAGCTGCTATCTAGGACACCCAAAGGAGCAGATGAGGGGGGGTTAAGGGCCTTGCTCAAGTGCCCAGAGTGGGACAAATGAGGGTAGGGGCAGGTGTGGGTGCTTCACCTACCCCATCCACATTTTTGATGTTGTCTGTACCAGGGCTTGAACCGGCGATCTTCCGATCACAGGCCCACCTTCTCCAATGTCTGCACCACCACTCTCCCACATCTTAGATTAATCAAAATATAGAATAAATATTAAATAAATATGGAATAAAGGATGACACTCTTAAGCGTGCCAGTAAAAATTGTTAGCAAAATTACTTGTCAATCAATCCAGTTCGCTCGTCACCCTCTGTGCCACCACTCCCCAATGGAACACTTTGCAGTCATAGGTTAATGGTTAAATTAAAGGTTAATGCATAAAGCTAGTTGTGCTTTGTTTTGTGTGGTTTGTATGTAGATACATGTTGCAACTTCTTGTTGCATAAGTTTAGTTTTTCTTTGCTATGATCCTTTAAAAGTTCTATTTGTAACTGACCTCTGCATTTACGGCCATACCACACTGAACACGTCTAATCTCTCCATAGCACTGAAACTGCTCTACTGAAGGTTTTTAATGACATTTTCATATCCACAGACGCAGGTGATTCTGTGCTGCTTGTCCTATTGGACCTTACATCTGCTTTTGACACCATCAACCACAACATCCTCATTTCTAGACTGGAGCAGTGGGTGGGCATCACAGGGTCAGCCCTTAAATTGTTTGGGTCCTACCTCTCTGACAGAACCTTCTGTGTCAATATCAAAGATTTTAGTTCGGCATCGACAGCACTCCAGTGGGGGGTACCGCAGGGGTCCATCCTCGGTCCCCTTCTCTTTTCTTTATACCTGCTGCCACTAGGTGCTATCTTCCGCAAACACGACATACCCTTTCATTTCTATGCTGATGATTGCCAAATTTACTTCCCCCTGAGGCACAGAGGCACACGCTCTATTCAGCCTCTTCTTGACTGCCTGGCTGACATCCGGGACTGGATGGCTTTAAACTTCTTAAGCTTCAATGAGAAGAAGTCTGAAGTCATGCTGTTCCATCCCAGTGGCTCACTCATGAACCATGACATTGACCTTTTCTCTCTAGCCCCGCTAGAGAAACAAAAGGTCACTAATCTGGGGGTGATAATGGACCCGTCCTTAAAACTCAACAGTCACATAAACATGATGGTCAAATCCTGTTTTTTTCAGCTGAGACGGCTGTCTAACTGAAGCCTATACTCTCCAAAAAGAACCTTGAGACAGTGATCCACGCCTTCATAACATCTAGGCTTGATTACTGCAATTCATTTCTGTTTGGAATCAGTCAGTCCTCCATTGCTCGTCTACAACTGGTCCAAAATGCTGCAGCCCAATTTTTAACTGGTACAGGCTATAGAGAGCACATCACGCCAGTTTTGGCCTCCCTGCACTGGCTACCCATTCACCTTCGGATCCATTTCAAAATTCTCATGTATGTTTTTAAATCACTGAACAGTTCCGCCCCATCCTATCTCACTGATCTTCTGCAGCCATATGTCCCACCGCGCTCTCTGAGGTCAGCAGACCAGATGCTTCTCTCAGTCCCAGAAACCCGTCGTAAGCTCAGAGGTGACAGGGCTTTCTCTGTTGCAGGTCCACGACTGTGGAATGAGTTGCCACTGAGTGTCCGGCAGGCTCCCACACTCTCAGTCTTTAAGTCTCGCTTGAAGACCCACTTCTATTCGCTTGCCTTTAACACGGTGTGATTTGTTTTGGTCCGGTCTGTTCTCTACTCTGTTGGCCATTTTAGTTAGCTTCTGCTGCTATTTGTATCTGTATTTCTATTTTATGTTTTCCTGTCTGCTGTGCATGTTTGGTTCTTTTGTACAGCACTTTGGTTGGCCTTGTTGCTGTTTTAAGTGCTATATAAATAAATTGGTATGGTATGGTAATCTCTCCAACTAAGAAAGGTTGGGCCTGGTTAGTACATGGATGGGATGCTGTCTGTGAAGGTGCTGTAAGCTTTTGCACTTCTCACAAACCACACCATGGTTGTTCAAGCCAAGAGCCATTGTCAGTACTGGACGGCAAAGCACCCCTAAAGTTCAGATCCTAGAATTGCCCCTGGATCCAGAGTGAGGTGATTCCTTCAGAAATGTGTCACATTTCGTTGCCTTTTGCATGCTAAACTAAGGTTTGTCAAGTAAAACAATTTATTAATATTATGAACTGGATGAGAACAAGTTGTCTTCTGTTTCAAGCTAAAAAAAGTTTGAAGTCAAAGGTACACCTCCAGGTCGCTCAGATAATATCTTAGCTTCAGTTTTGGTGACCAAACTATTGTACTGTGGATCACAAAGGTAAGGATCACTGGACTAATTGACATAATGTGACCTAGAGCTGACTCCAGTCTGTGTACCTTAACGACACAGAGGAAGACATGTTTTGCTTGTCCCATTGAAGCATTATTTAGGCCACACAGATCCCTGTTACACAAACAGATAATATTGCCAGTTACCTTGTCTGTGCTTCTGGCAAACTAAGAATAATATTGCTGTGTGAAGACATGGGCTCTCCTCCAGTTCCATCTTGATTTGTTAGCTGGATCCAAAATGGAACAACCATTTGCATTTGTGATGGATGGTAAATGATAAAGCCGTTCTCATCTCATTTCCAAAGCACTGAAACATTGTAATGTGTTTTGCCACCTTATGAGCATCTTGATTATGCGTTTTGTCAATATGATTGAAATTACACAGGCACACATGAAGACTGATCACCCTGCACATGTGATGTGTACATATAAAAGACCATTGATCTTAAATCTTAGCACATTTCAAAGACACAATGTGTTACCCAAAGCAAACAATGTAAAATAGGTCCATTAGGGAGTAATGAATTCATCAGGGAGAAATGGATTTGTGTGTGTTTGTGTGCACATGTAAAGACACTTGAGGCAGGGCCTAGTGATTTGTAACATTCACCTAGAGCACATTCACACAGTGTAACCACCGAGGATAGGAACAGGTTTGCTGCAGCTGTGAACAGGTGAGTGGTGTTCAATTTGTTCTCACACAAGCCGACACAAGCTCGCTCCTATAGGCTCTGCTGTCTGTCTCTTTTCAAACAGCTTAGAAAAACTTCCGTCTCCGCCTTATTCTGTGTGCAAACCAGTGGATTTCACTTATACATAGCTCCTCATCACCATCCACACATAGAGCAGATACATTCGTTATGTCATGCATATTCATGGCATTGATTGGTATGTTGAGCCGCTGTGGGGCTACTTTGCTTGGCTTTAATTAGAGTGGAACAGCGTGGCACAAAGGGGAATGAAGAGGAAACTCAGTGACAGATAGGAATCATTGGCTTTTGTGCCGTGATTTCTCGCTTCGAATGGTGAAAGAGTTCTCTCAGTTTAATCACTGCTCCCATGAATGGAAACAGGTCCCAGGCAGAGGATGTTGCCAGCACAGCGTCTTTCTATGAATAGATGAGCAGACCTATATTACTGAAACGCTCCGTGCGACATTTGATTTGCCGCACTTTCCACGTATACAGCTGCCACTTTCCTTTCATTGTGTGCGTCTCGCTGCGATGCGCCATCACTCTTTCGCTGCAGCACACGTTACAACTTTAGGTAGGCTGGGACGATAAAAAAGGACAGCTGTGGAGTGCTTTATTTTGAAATAGTGTCATCTGTCTCAGTGGAAGGTTCTCAGCTTCTGTCTGGATCATATTGGTGATTTTGGAAACCTTTCTTCTTCAGGCTGATGGGTATTTTTCTTCACAGAGTAGGTTCCTTTTTTAACACACTTCTCTCCTCCACAACTGTTCTTTCCTCTAGAAGAGAATTGTTAGGGAATGACAAAAATACTTCATCCAGTTCATGAATAAATTTTTTTGTTTGTTTGTTTTAATAAAGACTGATCCCCTCTAGTTCCCCTGATCGTGGTGACCCAACATTCTCACTTACTCGTTTTACTCCTTCACCTGACAGCCTGCTGGGAAAATGGCATTTCATCTTGGTCATTTTGTCTTGTAAAATCAATAAAAATAGAAGAGGATAAACATAATGGCTCAACTTCGAGCCTATATAAAATTGAGCGCTTTTTTTCTTTCTCACTCTTCTTCTATCTCAAGCAATCATAAGTACTCTCCCTGTCTACCTCCTCTTCATCCAAAGGAGACTTGATGGCTGCAGGACTATTGTTTACAGCTACCTCTCAGCTTCCCTAGGGCCTGATAAGACCTGATGGGAGAATAGAATGGCTTTTCTGGGGCTCTGTCAGCCTCGGAGGTTTAATCACAGACCAAATCTGTGGAAGTAAGGTGTATTTGCTGAGGGTCAAAGGCTGGGAGATCTCCAATCTCTTTTGCAGTGCATATTTTATCATTTATAGCCAAGAAGGATAGTTGTGATTTGAAAAACAATTTAGTTGAATGTTGTGTTATTGTGCCTTCCTTGTAAATAATTCTGTTTTTTTACCATGGGTGTGTGAGGCACATTAAAGAGCTTAAAATGTTGGGCTGTGTGAGCAAAAGTAATGGGGTTCCTTGCACCACTATGAGTGGATCACTGTCTTGGGTGAATTAAAGGTCACAGCAAGCACATTTTGTGTTTTTATAATTTCCCTTGCAGTGTCTCAAAGGCCCGTCAGAGCCCACAAACAACAGGGTCATGAATACAGTTTGCATAAAGCCACGTTCAAGGGATCAACAGGCCAACAAACGACAGTGCACCAGTCACTTTGCTTCAAATTAAACAATTAAGAAGATTATGCATGAGTTGCAATGTAACTGGTTGGACGCAAGCTACTTTTCCAAATGCTATTTAGCAAGCCTGAAATGCCAGAAAGATGGATACATTTGTATTTCTTTTTTTTTTTTTTATGTGCTTTTCTGCCAAACTTAAAATATCTGAAATTAGATTCCTTTTAAAGCAGGATAGGAATGCATTTTAGATTCAGTTTGCTCATGTTAAGTGATATAATCATCACTTTTGTAATGTAATTCCTTTTTTAGCACACCATTAGAAGACCTCTTTCATCTTACCTGTGATGTAATCATGTTGGCAATACTGCAGACATTTGAATATCAAAGTGAGGATTGGGGGCAGGGGCAGGTGTGAAATGAGCTAAATATTGCAAAATTGTTTCATACCAGAGAGGTCTCTTCCAACTCCCAGCGCCAGGCCATCTTTGATCCACAGGACAACACCGTGGTATTCAGGGATGGTGCAGGATAACGTCACCGGCTGACCCGCCACCACTACCAGGTCCTCTGGTTGCTGGGAAAACATGAACCCCGCTCCTTTAGAACAAAAGAAGAAAGGAGTGGTTAGGCTTGATCTGCTTGAGACAAATGTGTTACTTTTAAATAATCAAGACAAGAGGGCAGGGTTCTAGAGCTGTGAGGAGAATAAGTGATGGCTTCAATCTTTTAAATGCTGAATGAAAAAAAAAATGCTCTCAACGTTCCCCTTTTTGCCACCAATTTCACTCAAAGCTCTTGTCAAACCCATGTTGTAAGATGCCTGAAGGTGATACACAAAATATGGCATACCTTTTTACTATTCATGACACAGAGACAAGACACTGTACTTGCATCAGAGTGGAGCTGTGAGATTAAAGCGCGGCTCAAGAGACAGCTATCATAGTTCAGCTTGGCTCACTGATTAAGAGTGTCACCATGCAGATGGACTGAGCCCATACACACCACAGCAGATAGCAAAATCGTGTCTGCCACCACCGTTCCACTGGCATAGATTAACATGAGCTCACACCCATGTATTCCAGCTGTGCAACCACTATTAACTGCACCACTCCACGATATGTTCAGCCAGGAAGCACAGAGTGGTGAACTCCATTAGAGGTGTGTTACTGGGTGTGTGTGTGTGTGGGGGGGGGGGGGGGGGCAGAGACAGTAGAGGTGTGCTTGTAGTGATATGTGTGGAGTAGTGTGTCAGAACAGAGGGTGCAGAGTAATTCTGACTTGTACTCAAACACTAGCAGTCTGGAGTCTGCACACTCTGACATGCGTTCACCTAGACACCTACAGGTCAGATATTCACCTCTCCACAGCTGTGTTTCCCTGTGGCTGCAGTTTAGAGCCAGCATTTCTGTGAGCGTTCAGTTCAGTGGATGTCATTCCAGATCTGTGCTGATATATTGGTTCTACTTTTGTAAACTGTTCTCTACATTGCTTTTGTTTTTGATCTTTGGTCCATCCCAAAGATCCAGTCCCCCAGCACAAACAGAGTAATGTGTATGCTGTTTAGTGTCAGGAGAGCTGTGATCAGTCTTACATTGGGAAACTAAACAGTCACTGGACAAAAGGATGGCCCAGCACAGAAGATCAACATCATCAGGCCAGTACTCTGCAGTCTACACTCATAGCGGCCACTCGTTCAGGGATGAAGATGTTCACATCCTTTATAGAGAGGAACGATGATTTGAGAGAGGAGGGAAGGAAGCCATCTTTGTGAAGATAACCTGTCCATCATTAAACAGGGGGTGGAGGCCTTCATGTCCAATAGTCACCTTCTTACAATTCTATTATTGTTAGCATCACTCTGCCCTCTGTGAATAGCGAGTGGCCATCAGGGCACTAACGATTGTTCATTAAGTTGATAGTCTTCCTTTATCATGTGACCAGCTTGTTTGGGACAACAAACTCGTTGATGCACTATGAAAAGGGACTACCATATTTTTCGGCATATAAGTTTCAGTTTTTTTGCATACTTTACATGCCCTGCGACTTATACACTGAAACAACTAATTTATGTTTTCCCCCCATATTTATAAACCAATTTTTGGCTGAGATTTGACCATTTTCATTCTGACTGAAAATACTGAAAACTACCATTTTCAGCTGCTAGATGGCACTCAAATAGTATGACATGCCGTTGTGTCATTTAATTGGTAAAAGTGGCTATTAATGACACAGTCGGCTTGCCATCGCCTTCCACTGTCATCTACCTGGAGCAACCGTAAACCGTACTGAAGTGTATTTATTAAGTAAAAGTTCAACTGAGACACACCTTTACAATAATGTAGAGCAACCAAATAATTGTTTTAGATACTTCTCTAGTTAAATTTTGAAGAAATGCACAGCGTTCCTCCTTCCTGATTTCCTCCCTGTCTTTGCACTCCCGGAGCACCGAGGTAGTGAATATTTTTGAAATTACAGCTGATTTGACTGTTAAAGTGCAATTGTTAAGCCAAAAGTTAGACTGAGACACACCTTTACAATGATTTCAAGCAAACACATCATTGTTTTTAAGAATTAAACTTGTTAAAGTCTTGTTAAAGTTCTCCAGTGCACGCTCCCGCAGCCACCATTTGGCAGCCAATCAATTTTTGGCATAACACCGGCCCACATTTCCGGGTTGTCAGCAGTGCCGCTTAACAAATGTGACGCGTAAGCAGTGATGCATAATAGATGAGACTTATATAGCAAAGTGACATATTTATGAAATTTTCCACTTTAGACATATTTGGACTGATGAGAGTTATTGGGCGGTGCGACATATATGGTAGAAAATTTAAAAGACAAAGTTTATTTCAGCTTCGTAGACTGAAGAAGTCTTTCAGATTAAAGACAAAACATTTCATTGTTGTTGTTTCTTTTTTTTTTTATCCATCTAGAGGACCTGACTTAACTTTGTTAGAATGTTCAACCAAAAAAAGTCCATGCTCAGTAATCCAGGTATACAATCCAACAATTTTCAGTCAGGTCATCCAGATAGTTTTTTTTTTTTTTTTGCTGAAACGTTTCACCTTCCATCCAGAAGGCTTCATGAGTCAAGGAAACACACAGCACAAACTGATTCTTCCCCCAAACAGCTTACTCCAAAGTGGAACAAACCATTTATGTTGGTGCTAAGATGGTGTCTTTGGCACACCCCCTCCTCCGATGCTGGCCCTCTTCCTCGTTGACAGTCATGTCAAACTGGTTCAAAACCGAAAAAAGTCAATGCTCAATAATCCAGGCATACAATCCAACAATTTTCAGTCAGATTGGACTGTTGGATTGTTAGAATGTTCTTTACATTCTTTTCATTTTAGAACACTTTACTTTTCCAGTAGCTACACTCATGATTTCAGTACACATCAGTGGTAGCTGGTCCATTTGAGAAGGTGGGGCAGAGCCCCATTTAAAAAATTAATTCACCCCACAAAGTAGTTCCTCCTAATAAATAATGTAAATTACTTATTCAATGAGCTTCCTGTGTATTGATTTATTCTGTTTTTTTTTTTTTTTTCAACTAGGTTGACAATTATAAATGGAATTTAAAATTATTTTTAGTTATCCATTTGATTTTTTTTTTTACTTATTTACTGTTATGGGGGAGAACCGTTCATTGACCCACATTTGTCAAGTAGACCGAATGTGCGGCCAGTGATCCAAACAGCCAAGTCCAATAGAATTAAATGTTCTGTATTTAAATCCATTTGGAGCAGACAAATGGGACCAGAACAAAAAAATAAAAAAATAAAAAAATAAACGAGAAGAACAGAGGAATGTCAACGAACAGAACATTTCCGCCATCTTGTGTGTGTGTGTGTGTGTGTGTGGCTGTGGCGGGTCAGTGGTTGAAGCAGTAGTTTTGTAAGCGTTTGTGGGTTTGATCCCTACGTGAATCTTCCATTTGAATTGGTCATGGTATTTTAAGTCAATTTTCACTTTTACATTATTTCAGAGTTACTTCATTGAATTATGTGTTAATTTGGAGTTTTATTTCATAATTATTACTTCAAATCAAATTTGAAATCTAGGTCAGAAAGCTGTGTGCCTGTCAGCTAGGGGAGGGAGAAGTCAGTTTCACTGATTTATTAGACCAGACTGTTTTTCCACAACCTCGACCCGCGAGAGGGAGAAAAAAGGCAAACATTTGTAGACACAAAAAAACTCAACAATAAATTAAAAATTAAGCAACAAATGTCCTTTTTTCCCACAGAAAATGTAGCACAATTTGTAAAACTTTCCAAGAAATGAATGTCCGCCCCACAAATATTTTTGCTCAGGAGCCGCAACTGGTACACGTGATGGAGGAAGAGCAGCTACAGCCTTGCATGTACACAGTAACAAACATTACATTTTCACACACAGTTGCAAAGCCCAGACTCCAGAGTTTACTTTTTAACAGGCACAAAGTTTTAGTAAATCTGACCCAAAGTCTTCTTTAGAAACCCAAGTTGCAGCAGAAGTTTCTAAAGTATTACTCACACATCGCAACAGTTTTGTTTCCTCCTACTTTCAGACTATTGACTTGCTTGTATCAAACTAAACCAATTCAAGATCTCTCGAAGGGGAATAACACAAGGACACACACACACACACACACACACACACACACACACACACACACACTGCACAAAGTGAAGCATGGCTTACCAATTAAGGCAAAGTAAAAGGCACAGTGGTTTATGAAAACATGTTTTCATCTTACATCTTAGTATCGCACAGTGTCCTTGTGTGCTTATTTTCTGACTAAATAAAATCATCTGCCATTCTTCATGTCATGTCAGAAGAAAATATGATTGTTGTTGAAGAAACTGGAATTTAAGATTGGAATTTAAAACAAACTTTTTTTTTTTTTTTTTTTTTTTCCCCTTTAGCCTTGAAATGTATTCTGTAAATTACCACAGTAATATGTGCCAGTATCTGGACATTGTGAAGTGTTGATGAAGTCTACACTGCCCTTTGTAATATCCACCAGCTTTAGTACATGTTCTGGCCAATTTGTTAGCTACATATATTCAATAGCTTTTTAACATAAATAGATAATCAGCCAATCACATGGCAGCATCTCAGAGACGTGGTGAAGAAGACTTGCTCAGAATGGTGAAGAAAAGGTATTTAAGTGACTTTCACTGAGTTGTTGGTGTCAGGACCAGCAGCTCTGGTGTTTACTGGGATTTGCTTGACTGTAAATCAGCTTTATTTTTGCTACTTCTTGATTATATTTAGCGTAAAACATCTGTGAGCTATTTTAACCTATGAGGATGTTACACTCCGCTCTCAATCAGATAAAATGCACATTTTACAGAAAAGCACCTTTGAGTCTCTGTTGAGATCTGTTGAAGTGAAGTGCTCGAGGAGCAAGGATGAAAAAACAGCACAAAACAAAAACCTCTTGTAAAACACTGGTCTCAACAAATGTGTCCTGTGCATGACCAGTTTCAAAGAATTCACTTTGGATTTAATAATATGTATTGTGGATGTACCTATTATTAGTTATTAATCTTTATGATACGAACATCTCAGCAGGTGACATTTAGCAGGTGTTCGTACTCCCAACGTTAACCAGCTGTGACTGACAACTC